CCCCCCCTTTTTTTTTTTTTTTTTTAAATATATCTTTTTATTGATTTCAGAGAGAGGAAAGGAGAGGAGGAGAGAGAGAGATAGAAACATCAATGATGAGAGAGTCATTGATCGAGCCCACAATTCCCGGGCATGTGCCCTGACCGGGAATCGAACCCCGATTGCCTGGATCCCAGGTCGACGCTCAACCGCTAAGCCACACCCGGCCGGGCTCACTCCCTTCTGTCCTGCAAGGTTTCTGCTGAGAAATCAGCTGACAGTCGTATGGAGGCTCCTTTGTTAAGTAACCAACTGTTTTTCTCTTGCTGCCTTTAAGATTTTTTGTCTTTCACCTTTGCCATTTTGATCATGATGTGTCTTCATACATGTAACTCCACTTAACAAGCACTTTGCCCAGTGACGGAATGGACAGCTACATGAGTGAAACAAGGCCTTCGGCTTCCTTCTCCATCCTAATAATCATGTGAGGACCAACTAGATGATGCTAATTCCAGAGCCCAAATTCCCCCACCAAAGAGGATAATTCTCCACACCCAGCAAAGGTTCTATAAATACTTAATGAACAAATAAAATACCTTCAGAGGGTGTCTACCATGGAGGCCTGCTGCAACAAATACACTATAGTATGAATCTAAAAGAAAAGATACTTATGGAGTAAATCTGCTAAATTCCGATTAAAAGAAAGTTTCATCTGGAACTAGTTTACATTATTATGAAAGTGACTTACCAGTTACCTGTAACTGTAACCTTCCACTGTGGTTATTACTAGTATCAGCCCTTGGTGAAGCAGTGGCCATGTCCCAAAATTCAGCTTAAACCTGTAAAAAATTCAATGTATTTATGTGTTAAACAAGAGATTATAATTTTCAATATGATTAAAACTAGGCAAGTCCATTAAGAAACCACCCCTGGTACAGTCTTGTCAGCCCATCACACGCTAAGACAGTCAGCTGTCCACCACTTGGAACTGAAACTCGGCACTGTGAGCACTGCAGACAAGCATGGTAAATGCACCATGTCCGAGCACCGTGAGCAGAGAACCCAGGGTCACATGCTCACTTATCTGTTTACGACATATTCTAATATTTACACGTGTATGTACTACCTGAACCATCTCAGTGGTTTCCCCATACCCTTTAAGACTTAGTGTGCCATTGCCCAAGGAAAAAAAATACTCTCCTAAGCACTGAGAGCATAATGATGCAATTCAGGAATTTAGTTCATTACTATCACCTCATATATATTCCATTTCACTAGCTGCCCCAGCAATGCCCTTCACTGTAATTTTCAAGCACAGGGTCTTGTTCAGGTCTAATTGCTGCATCAATTGTCATGTTCCCAGTAAACCTTGCATGCTTCTTTTTATGCTATTTTTTTTCAAGTTCTGCTTCACTTCTCCACACCAATTTTTACTTTTAAAATAAAATACAAAGCGGAGCCACTTTGTCTTTCTTCTGCATGACAAATATTTTAAGACTAAACTTCTACCTACTGTGAACCTGCTGAAGATAAAGGGGAACATTCTGGGCGAGGCTGAGGAACGCCGATGAGTGTTAACGCCCACCTTGGTTTTCCATTTGTAGTCTTTTCTATGGTCCATTCACAGCCCTCTCCAAATTCAGGGAGCCAGTGCCCTAAAATCATTATACCCCCTTCACTCATTCATAATTGCACGTGCTTTGCATCTGTGTGCTTGTGTGTGTAAAGAGACAAGAGAAACAGCTGCTATTTGAGAAACTGATTTAATTAACATAGAGCCAAAGAGGTGAATACTGCTCCCCGACTGCCCGCCCCTGGTTCCTCCGCAGGCCGCTTCTCCCTCACTGTCACCCAGGTGCCCCCTCGGGAGTGCACACCTCTGGTGACCAGGAGCTGCCATTTTAAACTGCGAAATACGACAGGGTTTCAAAATGGCACTGTCTTCCTCGAAAGGGAGACACAGCAACTAAAATGGTCAGTTTCCACAAACAGTTCCACACCTCATTCAGGACAGGAAGGGTGTGGCCCTTCAAACACAGGTGCTGTCACAGTTGCCCTCTGATCTGAGGCTTCTCCATCTCACGGTGAGGACACCGAGCCTCAGGAGCAGTGCAAGTCCACAGTCCTATTTTTTAAGACAACATTACTACCAGGCCTACACAGGTGCCATCAGTCATCGGTACGTATAAAGTCACTGGCAAACATGGTCCTAGTTTAGAAAGAGCTGTCAGTCACTCACTGTGCAGCAGGAACCGCATGGGATGCTGGGGACCTAGAGATGAGTAGGACACGGCTCCTCCTTTCAAGGGGCTCATAGTCTAGTACGGAGATGAACCTGCAAACAAATGAAGAGCTTTCAGTGTGACAGCTGAACACAAGGCAGCACATGCGGGCACCCATGGGGAGTGATAACCCAGCCCTGGAGAAGCCAGACAAATACGGTCACACATCTGTCTGTAAAGGGGATTTGGCAGGAACACAAACATACTGGAGGAGAGAGCCCCAGCTTCAGGCTGAGTCCAGAAGGCAAGGTGAATCCACAGGAAACTTCTCGGGGACAAGACAGGACAGCATGTGTCAGGTGCTGGGGAAGCTTAGCCTAAGGAAAGGTAACCTGGAAGGTTAGGGCCCGCATTTAGGCAAAGCTACTGCATCAACAGCACAAATTAAAACTCAATGAACGCGGCAGAGAGAGAGAGCCGCGTAGGCCCCCTGCCCTAGAACACCCAAGACTCTGCCAACTGAAAGCAGACAGTATGTATTTCACAACAACGTAAACTTAATTTGAACAGCACAGGAGTGTCACTTCTACACACAGGACATGCAAAAAGACTGTGGGTCATGTCAATGACTTTACAAAGCGGGACAGTGCGTCCTGACTCACCCAGACCACAAAGGTTTGGGCCCTGCTCCCTGGGAAACCTCGCCGTGCTGGGCACACCAGGGTGGGTATTTGGTAACCTTATAACACAGTGGAATGGCTCTAATTGTGCAGACAGCTTTTGGCATGTATCTCAGAGATTTTTCCAGTGGAATTCTGTTATAATAAAGCATAAGTCTGTTGGATTTTACATTTCTCATGACCTAAATATTCAGAAGGGAGAAACTCCATTTTGGGGGGACTGCTCATCACGAGGCCTGGACGTCACAATGGACGGCAGGTGGGGAGAAGGCAAAGGAAGCAGGATGCCTTTCCCACCAGCCCTCAGCATCTCTTACTTTCACCAAACGCTCAATAACCACCACTGTGGGCTCCTAAGGTCCGCAAGTCGGTCCGGCTCCCTGATTAGCTTCCTGATAACACTTGGACCTACCGTTCTTCCCTAGCCCACACCATCACCCCATGCGAGGCTCCACGCCCCTGCCCACCCCACTATCACGGGCGCACCACCCTGGACTTAGGACCCTCCTTTGCTCACAGTCACCCGACAGCCACCTCACTACTGCACTCTGTCCACCTAACTCCAGACCCTCAGTCCCTCCAGCTCTCCTTGGTCCTGGCAGCTCCTACTGGCAACACCACCACTGTCTGCACAGCACTTCAGTTGCAAAGTCCCACAGGAGTCCCAGGTAGCCGGGAGAAGTGCAGTCCTTTCCAAGGTTAACGCCACGCATTAGCATCCCTCTCGGTGCCCAGCCTGTCTCCACAGGCCTCTCCCTCCTAGCATCTCTCCTCTCCTTGTCTCTCCCCTTCGATTCTAAACGCAGCCTTGCTGGGTGGAGTCGTCTTGGTTGTAGGCCGTTACTTTTCATCACTTTGAATAGGTCCTGACACTCTCTTCTGGCCTGAGAAGTTTCTGTGGAGACATCGGCTGACAGTCTATGGGAGATGCCCTGTAGGTCACTAACTGCTTTTCTCTTGTTTTTAAGATTGTCTTTAACCTTTGCCATTTTAATTACATTTTGATGTGGGCTTTAGGTTCATCTGTTTGGGACTCTGCTTCTGGACTTGTATGTCTATTTCATTGCCCAGTTTAGGGACGTTTTCGGTCATTACTTCTTCCTCTAGGTCCTTGATCCCTTGCCCTCTCCCCTCCTCCCAGTGCCCTCATGATGCGAGTGCTGGTGCCCTGCCTGCTGCCCCAGAGGCATTGGGTTATTCTCCTCCTGCTGCTCTGACTGGGTGCTTTCTGCTGCCTCGTCTTCCAAATTGCTGATATGACCCTCGGCTTCATCTAACACAGTCTTCGTTTTGGTAATTATTGTCTTCATTTCTGACTGGTCCCGTTGCATGTTTTTTCTACTTGGAGGCTTCCCATCTCTTTGTTGAGGTTCTCACAGAGCATCCTTATGACCGGTGTTCTGAATTCTGCATCTGTAAGTTGCTCGTCTCCACCTTGATCAGTTCTTTTTTCAGAATTTTGTTTGTTCTTTCACTTGGAACGTGTGTTGCCTCATTTTGGCTGTTTGTTTCTATGTATTACGAGGATCTGCTACGTCCCCCAGTCTTGGCAGAGTGGCCCTTATGCATTAGGTGTCCTGGGGCCCAATGGGACAGTCTCGCTGGTCACCTGAACAGTGCTCCAGGTGTGTCCCTTGTGTGGGTTGTGTGCCCTCCTGTTGTAGCTGAGCCTTGATTACTGTTGGCACCTCAATGAAAGGGACTGACCCTCAGGCTGACTGGCTGTGAGGGACAGCTGTGACTAGAGCAGAGGAGCTGCTGTGCAGGGGCTGAAGCCAAGAAGCAGAGTGTGCTTTGTCCGGGCTCTGGTGCCTGCTGAATCCACCTTTGGGTGAAGGAGTCATCTTTATAATTCCAGCCCCTAGCCCAATTCTCAGTCTTTACCCAATAAATACGTGTTAAATGAAGATTCACAATTAATAAAACAATCCTGTGAAATTAGGGTGGTTTTTAAAAAATGTACGCATATAGCCTAGAACTAAAACTTTAATAAAACTGAAATATTATAAAGGAAATTGGGGACATAAACCACTTATACCCTCTCCCATCTCTGCCCTGCTGATTCCGAGCTCCAAGTCCACGTCCACCTAACCAACATGATTTCATATCTACAACCCCAAATAAATGCTCAATAAAAACGTGCAGTAAAAAAGCAAAAGGTAAATGTTACTGAAAATGCTCATTTGACTTATTAAATACTCAAACGGCCAAAGGTATATAAACAAGAGAAAAGCTCATTAAAAACTTGGGACATTCTCTAGCCCTAATTATTCAAAATAATTTAGAAGTCACATACTAATCCCCAAGTTGTACATCAACTAGAATTTTCTAAAAGTCTGGAGGAGCAATAGCTGCTTAGAACACAGCACAAATTTTCCCACAGAAACATTGTAAATGCCGGTGAGCTAATAAACAGAGCTACTGGGTCACATCCCAGGCAAATAGCTTGTGCAGGTCAAGGAAGCCTGTTGTTCACAGACAGGCTTGAGGGCTGCTGCAAATACTCGAGCGTGTGGATGCGCATCTCTCCTGCAACATCAGAGCACAATTCCAAAGATGCTCCTGACACTGAGGAAAAGCACTTGGCATGGTGCCTAGCACATAGTAAACAATAAATTACACCTGATTTTACCCAGAATCCCCGATTTCCAACTTTTGTGTTCATCAAAATAGCTTTATTTTCCTTACTGGGTACTGTCAATTCCGAGAGGGAGGGACAAATCTCACCACTGCCCCACATGCCTCCCTCGCAGCCTGGTGCCCAAGAGTGTCTCTTCAGGTCTGCAAAAGAAGGGCCCCTGGTGCCAACCAGGTCTCAGCAACAGCAGGCATACACCAGAGAGCCTCATTCTGTTCCAGGTGGTTTGTGAAATGAACCACCATACTTCTCAGATTGACTTTTTTTGTTTAAAACTGTCATCAAAATGAGAGAAAAGTACAGAAACTGATACAGAAAATACTCCCTAAGAGCCACCAGCTTAGGAAACACTGAGCTAGACAAAAGCAGCCCAAGAACTGGCAGGAGAAGAGCATCTGAGCCCTCTGGCCTGGGTAACCTCTTAAAAGAGGGTTGGAGCACAGACACATGACACTTTCCAGCTTAGAGTCACTTATCTAAAGCCACTGCATGTTTCAGCAAAACATGAAATGGCCGCAACCATCTATAACCACACAACCTAACCCACAACTGTTTTCACTTTATGCCATGATTTTTCTCCAATACACATTTTTTCTTACCAAGTTGCAATCCTAGTGTACAATTAATTTTATTTTCTACTTCCTACCCTCCACTTACAGTAAGAGCTGCCCATCACAAACTTGACTGATCCCTTGGTGGACATCAGAGCAATGTGTGCTCACAGCTGTAAAACACAGCTTTGGCAACAATATTCCAGACGGCCACAAGATGGCGACGCGGCTCAAAACAACACATCTCTAAAAAAATCTAATTAAGTACGTTGTACCAGCTCTCTAAAAAAACAAAACAGTTCTCCTTTATTGAAAATAAGGGTCAAAAATGTTTTTGTACTTTACTAGGAAACTTTAGTGAGGAGGAAAATACTTTCATTAAATTTAGTGGCAACTACTCTAATTTTAAAGCTAAACAGTTATGGTCCCTAGAAACAAAACAAAACACAGGACTTGGCACTGTTTCTGTCTTTTATCAGACTGATCTTTCCTTTACTCCCTGCTCCATCCCTTCCTCCTCAGGTCATAACAAAAAAATGAAATATATTTTTACTTGTTACACTGAACGCCTTTATTATTCGTAATTATTGTTAACTTAGGGATATGACTCCTATTTGCTTCAAAAGGACACTGAAGTTTATTCATCCACAAAGGAGAGTCAGCAGTCAGAGTCAGGTCATTTCTTTCTCATTTGTTGTAATTTCCTCAATTTCTCATAATACGCAACATTATGTTTACAACAGTAAAATACCAAAACTTTCCCAGGAGATACTGCTGCACCTGGCAGTTTTCGCCAGGCGTGTGTCACAATCGGCAGACAGGTTTCCCACACCCGTGCTGCATGCAGCCAGAAATGAAGTTCCCAGTAACACTGCGCACCTTAAAACCTAGGTTCCCAGCGTCCATAACCAACTGAGGCTCATAGGCAGGAGGGCTGTGTAAATACGCCCTGCAGAACGGACAACACAGCGCCCCTGCCTGAGCCCACCTGCACGCACGGGCGTACAGGTGACGCAGAAGCACGGCCAGTCCTAACTCGACCGGAGGCAGGGCTCTGACTCCAAAAATAGTACGAGCAACAGCGACCACTACCGGGCGCCTAGTGTTAGTCCACTGGCTCACAAACGCTGTCTTCAGTGCCACCAGTCCCCTCCACGGTCTTTATGTTCCTACTGACCGAGGGGTAAAACTCGGTTTTGGGAACCAAAAGCGCCAGGACCACAAAATTAGTGAGTCAGGGTTCTGAACCCAGGATCCTCGGCTCAGAGCCAACACTCTCTCCACCAAGTCTGCTCTGCAAAAAGAGCCTAAAACGAGAAGCACTGAGCTCGGTGTGCCTCGGGCTGGGCGTCTGCCACGTCAGTCAGATGCTACTGTTCCCTTCCTTTTCACTTAGATTCTCAGCAGGGTGATTCTGTGGGGCATTAGAAACGCTTTTTCTTCATGCTGAGAAAGAGCATGTAATCTTAAAAAAGAGTGTGTGCAGAAGCGTGGGCACATTAACCGGG